GACGCCGCTCCCCCTGCCCGGACACGGACACGGACTGCTCCCTTCTGGCCCCCTAGTCCCTCCTCGAGCTTCAGGTCCCACAGACAGCAGCCGTCCTACAAGTCGCATGGCTCTAACCAAAGCCGGCGACACATCTTCCTCCCGTTCTCGTCCAAAAGCCGCATCTGTGCTAACACACCGCCAAGGCCTCGCGCCCCTTTCCCTGCAAGCTTCAGGATGGGGCAAGGCTCTGCTCACCGTCACCTCCGCAGGGCTCGCAGAGTGTCTGGCACCTGGCAGGCACAGCATAAATTTTTAACGAATGAATGAGCCAGTTAGCCAAAATGACCACTAGTTTATCAAAAATAAAAATTCAGACTCTGTTGAATAATTTGAGGGACACTAAAAGGCTAGGAAACAAAATCAACAAAATTCAGAAACCAACTGCAGACAATGCAATTTGATCAGAGAAATGACAACTACTTATATTTTACTATTTCTCAAATTAAAACCCATTTTTAGGTTAAGCCTACAAATAAATCCTAAGCTTGGAATAAAATTTCCTGAAATTAAAAAAAAATATTGTAAGGATACAACAGAATTAAAGGGGGTAGCATAAAAGTGGGAAGGATTATTCCCAGCCACCCCAACTAATTAATCAGTTAAAGACCACCAATTAAAATAGAAAAAATTTAGAATTCTTAAACCTTGTGGAGACCAATGCACATTTTCATGGTTCGCCACTGAAATTCTGCCCCTCAATGCTTACATGCTCCCCCTCTTTAATCCAAACCACCCAAGCAAAAGCTCCTAACACCAAACAAAAGTTGAATACTGTATTTGTTTCTAATTAATGCTTTTAATTATTTGCCTTTCTTTGAAGAAATTCTCAGTACTTTGCAAAGTCCTAGACCACTTTAATAGCAGAGTTGAAGATCATAATATAGGAAAGTAACTGTACTTGGAGCCTCCATGAAATGATTTTAAAATATTCATGGCAGTTTTCATGTAAATTCTGAATGGGAAAGATCCTCTTGTAAACATTTCTCTTAGATCAGGGGTGGGAAACCTTTTTTCTGCCCAAGGGCCATTTGGAAATTTATAACATCATTCAAGGGCCATACAAAATTATCAACTTAAAAATTAGCCTGCTATATTTGGTCAAACATTTAATTGAACTTATTTGAGTCCCGCCTGCAGTTGCCTTGGCAGGGCCACACCAAAGGATTTCCTCAGCCGCATATGGCCTGAGGGCCAGACTTTCCCCACCCCTGCTTTAGATAAATTACCCACCCTATAACAATGCTGAACAATATAATGGTCAACAAGTTATACAAAATCTGAAAAGTTTAAGCAAGTAGGCTATGGTCAATGATGAGCAGGTTATCAGACATATTTTTTAAATGGAATCAGCGGGTTAGATATCCTTAAAAAGAGAACAGAGTTACAGTTACATCAAATTCCGTATTAAATTAAATATCATGCATTAAGGATGACTTTGTTTCCAAAAGATATAAAATGTCTCAGACTGTTTAAATAATTTCTTGAACCATTTACAAAGCAATCATATTTTTAAGGCAAAAGCATGGTAGAAGTATACAAATATCATCAATAGAGGGATGGATGAATAAACTATACTACAGACACATAACGGAATACCTGGATAAATGCCTTACACGAATATGAAGATGGCTTAGAGCAATATTCCTGTGTAAATGCTAGAGTTCATGCAAGCCAACAATGTCGGAAAGGGAATATGTATGTATGTCTGTGTGTACACATTCAAAGCAGCTCAGTTTCCAACTTAGGAACATTTATGAACAGAATATGCTACGCTCTGCATTAGGTCGACTCACCACCTCTAGGGATCATGTGCAATCATTTCTGCCTCAGCCATGCAGCTGTCTGTTAGCCCAGGGTACACTGGTTCTGTTTTACTTTGAGGTGATTAACATTATGTTACAAGTATACTTATGAGGGATTTTTATTACAAAACAATACATTTTTAAAAATTTATTGATTTGAGAGAGAGGAAGTGAGAGAGAGAAAAAAACATTGATTTGTTGTTCCACTTATTTATGCATTCATTGGTTGATTCTTGTGTATGCTTTGACCAAGGATCAAACCTTTGGTGTATGGGGGTGATGCTCTAACCAACTGAGCTACCCAGCCAGGGCCCCCAAAAATACATTTTTAAAAGTCCCATAAGCATCCACTAATCTGTTGACTTTTTTAAAAAAGCAAAATACACATATATGGTTATAAAATCTATATAAAGGTACAAAACAAAGTGAAAATCTTTCCACCACCAGTGTAATATTAATAATTTCCTGAGATTGAGACAATCATACATTTATAATAGCATATATATATCTATGAATCCACATTATGTATTACATATTACATGAGTACATATTAATTCCATTCACATACATAACTAAAAAGCAATGAAATATAGAGATGTAAAAGTATAAAGAAGTGAAAGAATTGAAAACAGAAAAATGAGATGTATATGAATGCATCATAAAGCAAATGAACAAAGGGAATCATCAAGGTAAAAACTTACCAGCCATTATAATAAAAAATAATCAGCAAGAAATGAAGAAAAATTATGAAATTATGAAGATATTGCTAGAGCAGTGTCTCTCAGACGTAATGTTTATAAATTACCTGGAGCTACACCTGAGTGACAGGGGTCTAGACTAGTGCAGTACTGTCCAACAGAAAAATGTGATCCACACGTATAACTTAAAATGTTTCTGGTAGCCACAGAAAAGCAAAAGTGAAACAAATGGTGGAATTAATTTTAACATATTTTATTTAACCCATATATTCAATATGAATCAATATAAAAATTGATATAAAACCAACATAGCTGGTGTGGCTCAGTGGTTGAGTGTCAACCCATGAACCAAGGGGTCACTGGTTAGATTCCCAGTCAGGGTACACGCCTGGGTTGCAAGCTCAATCCCAGCACAGGAAGCAGCTAATCAATGTTTCTCTCTTATAGATGTTTCTCTTTATATATCCCTCTCCTTCCTCTCTCTCTAAAATCAATTAAAGTATATTTTAAAAAATCAATATAAAAATTATTAATAAGGGAGCTCACATTTTTTTTTTTCACTAACTATCTGAATCCACTGTGTATTTTACAGTTAGAGCACATCTTATTTTATATTAGCCACATTTTAAGAACTCAACAGCACATAATAGTGCAGGTCTAAAGCACATCAAAATCACCTAGAGAGCTTTTTTAAAAATACCTATGAGCATTTCCCATCTTTGACCAACTGAAACAATCTTTGGAACAGAACCAAGCACTGTGAGTTTGAAAAGCTCTCCAGATCTTAAGGATTCTCATCACACACATACACAGATGTACACACATACACAGTTAAGTATGTGAGGTGATGGATGTGTTAATCATCTTGATCTTGGTAATCATTCCAGAATGTGTTATGTTTATCAAATCATACTGTACACTTTAAATATATAATTACACTTGTCAATTATTCCTTAATAAAGTTAAAAAAACACACAACTCTCCAGATGATTCTCATTTGCAGCGCAGATTGAGAATCACCCTGCGAGAGAATCAGTGTTAAATGTGTACTTCCTCAAATGTACACAGAGAGGCAAGGTGGAGTGCAAGAGCTATAGCTGCTAAGAAATTTCCCTTCAGAGATCATTAAGGAAAAGCCTCACCTGCCACAAAAGATTAACATCATTGACAAAGCTGGTCTCTTTTTGGAAAAATATGCCCAGTAAAATATTATTTACATAAAAGAAGAACATGCCTAATTTTAAGGACTAACACTTCTACTTATTGAAAACATTAAAAAGGCATACGAACGAAATCATTTTAGAGTTAAGAAGAAATGGACTGCTCCTTATACACTTATTCATCTTTAGTAGAAAGAATTAAGATAATTAGAAGTATAAATCGGGAACATCCATTATTAATTTGAGTAATTAAGACACATTGTTTCACTTAATAAATATGTACTGAGCGCTTAAAACCTTCTGAAGGCTCTCCATGTGGAAGGTAAGTTTGCTCTTACTCTCCTTCTCTCCCTGCTTACATGGTACCTGAGCTCTACCGACTTATCTTCGTATCTACCTCTGTCAGTCTTATCTGTCACCCCCAATACCAACCCCCAATCTACTTTCCCAACCCGCCCTCCCCAACAAACATGTGTGCACTAGTCATTCTGAAATACCTTTCAATTCTAGATCAGCATTGTCCAATAAAAATGAGTCAAATACATAATTTTAAATCCTCTAGTAGCCACATTAAAAAAGAGAAATAGATAAAAATTAATTATGATATACTTCATTTAACCTAATATATAAAAATACCATTTCAATACATAACCAATATAAAAATAACTGAGATATTTTACATTTTTAAATCCCAGTATTTTGCACTCCACTTCACAGTTCAATTTGAACTAGCCATGCACAGACTTATGTGGCTATTGGCTACTGTATTAAACAGCACAGTTCTAGCTTTCATGAACCCTGCCTTAGGACTATCACAATGCATTCTTTAGCCCATCTTCCTGACTCTCAGGATCTCTGGTCTTTTGTCTAGCCAATGACTACTCATCCTCAGCACTTGGCTTAAATGTCTGTTCCAGGGCACCTTCACTGTTCTCATTCACCTAAGTCTAATGTCTTTCCTACATGCTTCTACTATCAGCTGTATTGTAATCATTTATTTTACATGAGGAGCAATAAGGGATCACATAAGACTAGAGTACTCCCACTATCAATTTACAATCTAGTAAAACCTATAAAACACATGGACATTAAAAAATTTACATGAAAAATTATAACAGAGACTACAAACTGGAAGTTGTGATGCGAATACAGACTACAAGGCTTGTATGTTAATTCTACCACTTACTAGCTCTGTGATCTTAAGCAGATCTCTTAACCTTCTAAACTTATTTCTTCACCTATAATTGGGAAAAATAATAAATTAATACTCATGTTTTGGGGATTCAAAGAGATAATCCAATTAAGAATCTTACAATGCCTAAGATATGGTAAGCCCTCAACAAATATCAGCTATTATCCATGTCCTAGTACAGTATCTGGACACAGTAAGCGAATATTTCTTTACTGGATAAATAATGTGAATATATGAACAGTGCAACAAGAGAAGTACTAACAAAATATACTGGATGCTCAGGAAAAGTAGAAAATTTTGGTGGGATTAGGGTATTGTGAGAAGAAATCAGCATTTGATTTGGATCTTATAAAACAGACTAATTAGAGACAGTAATAAAGAGAAACTAGGTTGGGGCCAAATGTCAGCAAATCTTTAATGTTGGCTTAGTAAGACCTTATACTTTGCTAGAAAACTTAAAAGATACAAATTTATCTGTGAAAGTTCACATATTTTTGAAATGCAAGCAGGTTACCTTCTATAGGGAGGCAATGTTACTGTAATAATATATAAACTATAACATACAAAATATAAGTATATAATAATAAACAATGATTACAGTTGTCAAGAGAATCCTAACTTATGCAGATATCCACCATCAGATTTTGCTGCTCTTAGACTATGAGATCAATTTAGTAACTGGATTGCGGTAAACTTGATACCTGGCAGAAATAACAATCCTCTTAAAACTATGCCTGAGTCAAGATATTTTTACAATTTTGGCAGCAGTCATTTTTACTGCATGTCCTATTTTTTTCCGAGGATTTGTAACTCCATACTCTACCTTACAAAAGTGGTATCCCTTTGTCCCCGACTGTTCTATGCTAAACTGATGGACTATTTCATTGACCAAATGCACTTTAACACATATTTTTAAACTCACTGAAATTGATATTAGGATGTATCTTAGATTTCTAGTCAGTCACGGCTTGTGTAAAATCCTTTGACATCATTTGATTAATATTAGAAAGTACCAAAATTAATGCAAAACTTAAGTTTAAATTTGGTAGCTATGCTTGCAGGGATAGAAACTAACCTTTACTTCCAGGAATGTGGTTTGCTCTCTCCTCTCCTTTACATTTTGGTAGTCATATAACAGAGCTTGGGTTTTCTGTCATCCATTACCCAACTTTTTACTCAAATATTTGTTGAGCTCCAACTACGTGCCA